AAAAAAAAAAAAAAAAAAAAAAGTCAGGCTTACTGTTAAAAAGAACAAGCTGACTTGAAAGCAGCTGTGCTGAGCCTCGCTCCTCAGCTTAGATTTGATTTGTACATCTTAGAGTCTCATTACCTTGGCCAATAAAAATGTGAAAACACACACTGTTCAGTTACTTGTCCACAGGACCTCTGGCAGTCAGAGGAAATGCCACAGAGCACAACTGTGGTAGAACCAGTAAAGAAAAAAAACAGAGAAAAATCAATTTCTCATGTAAACATGGCTTATTGCAGTAACAACACTCATAGTACCAGGAACTGGTCCTTGTTTTAAGGCAGCTGGTGGTTATTTTTTCAGTCTCCACTTCCAGTTGCTTGTCATTTAACCTATGGCAACAAACACAACAGGTTCCAACCCATTACAGATATATCTAAAGACAAGTCTACTGAACTTGGGAAGAAACCAACCAAGCCTGGTCTAAACAAAAGGTTGTCTGAGTTTAGGATAGCTGAAGCCCTACAAACCAGCTCTCACTCCTCCATTTAACTGGAGGCTGGGTGGGCAAATCCTTATGCTAAACTAGCCAGGCTGCATGCATGGCAAAACCTAATTCTATAGCTTAAATGTCAGTAGTATTACAGCATGGTTAAAAGTGAGGTGGGGTCAGAGTTCAAGAGTGACCAGTAGCTTTATTTACATTTCCAAGCCTGAATGGACCAAACCAGGACATACATATGAGTGTATATCCAAAACAAGAAGAGAGAGCAGGCTTGGTTTTCCCGAGAAGGTGAGGGAAAAGTAGGATACAGGTGCTGTAAGCGCTGGCCTGCCCAGCAAAGTGCATGTGCTGTCTCCGCTGGAGAATATTACACATGAACAGAGCACTCAGCTCCAGGGCAAGAGGCTGTTTAAGTGCAACGTTCAGCAGACCGATTCCCATTTATTTTTCATATAAACTATCAGTTCAGGGTTGAATTGCTTTGGGGTTTTTGCATTTGGTTTTGCTGTTGCGGTGTGTTCGGTTACTTGGGGTTTTTTATTTATTTTTTTTTGGCTTTTTAGAACTTTATTTTAACCTTCCTGCTTTTCAAAGTGGGATCGCTGGGTGAGAGAAACATGTTTGCAGGTCAGGGCACCCACAAGGCGTGTGAAGATTCATAAGGCAAGAAAAGAATCCCTCTCCCCAAAGGAAAACACATAACAAGTTGGCCTTCTCAAGAAGGTCAGTGGTTGTCAAGGAAATACTACCCGCCTTCCCCCTTCGCTCAGCTCTTCCCCTTGCGAGAGCTGCGGTGGAGGCTGCAGTCCAGGAGCACGACCTAGACAGCACCCAGGGCATGACCTAGCAGGAGTGAGCAAGAAGGTTCCCTCTGCCCTCCGTCTGGGGGTGCAGTACCAAGCAGAAGGAAGACAAATGAAGGGCTGAGCAGTTCGTGGCCGGGGCGGGGCGGAGGGGGGCCCGCAGGTCTCACTCCCCCTCCTCTTTGATGCGTTGCTGTTTGTTGCGGCGGGCATCCATGTCGAAGTTGAAGTCGTTCCACTCGTCGCGGGGCGGGAAGGAGATGGTTTGCCGCAGCGTGAAGCGCACGGCGTCGATGACCCGCTCCCCGCGCGTCTCGCTCGAGCCCACGCTCACCGTGGAGGCGCCGCTGGGGGTGCGCAGCAGGTGGGGAGGGGAGGAGAAGTCATGGAGCTGCCGGTGGTCCAGGATGCCCTTCCAGATGGCATGGCGGAACTGCTCCGGGATCTTAAGGCTCACCAGATCCTGCAAGGCAAGGTGCGGGGCTTAGCAGGGGAATCACGGGGAAAGCTGGGCTCCAGGAGTGAACACAGCCTCTGGGCCACCAAGAACCACCAAAGCTGCTAAAACCCAGGTGGCCATGATGCACTGCTCCTAGAAGTGGTGGCTCACTCTAGAACAGGCATGTGTGACCGTGAGGCAGCAATGGACTGTTTTGAAGGCACAAAGTCTTACTTTTAAGTTGGACAAAACACTTGTTCATGTATAAGACATGGTGACCTAAAACTAAAAGCTTAACTGGACCACAAGGCCTCCAAAGGCAAACTCAGGGAGATCTGCTGGCTGTTGGTGGTGGGGGATGCTGGGCTGCTGAAGGTCAATGGCTTTGAAAATTCCCATGTTTATTTCAAAGCCTGCAAAAGGATTTTAGAACCCAAGCCTGAGCTCCAGTATTCAGAGATCTGGGTGTAACTCTATAGGAACTGTCTTAATTACTTCAACATAACCAAATTTAATAACAGACACATAGCCTTAGAAAACTTGTATTTTGAGGCCCCATCATTTCTGTGCAAAACCTGAGGGTTGCATTACCTAAACTCTGGGATACACAGTATCAGCTTCTGAAAAAATTAGCAACCAACTTCAGTTAATTTGGGTCAGCTTTTCTAATTAGACCAGCAGCAGAAGGAAGGCTAAGGAGCAAAAGCACCACAGTCTCCCAAAGTCTTGTGGAAAAAAAATGGGACAGCCAGCTTGGAAGAGAGCAATGGCCCTGGAGAGGAAGCAGCAGCCCTGCAGCAAAAGCCATGCAAGAGTAAAAAAGGGAAAACAACGAACAGGGATGAGATACCAGTGGCAAGGGAAGTTGATTAAGGTAAGGCCAGAAAACAGAAGCAGGGAGGGAAAAATGCAGACCACTTCTGGTGAGCCTACTTGTCTGCAGGCGAGTGAGGTGTAAACTGAAACCGAGCCTTGCAGAATTAACCAGCGCGTGGGCTGGGGCCACTTTAGGGGCTCAGACAGAGTTGGGGAAGGGGAGACATTCTTTCTCTGTGCCAGGCAAGGCAGTTACAGTGCTGGCCCCAAGTCCAGCCTCTCTTCACCTCACAACATCTCTTCTCTATGTGCAACAACCTTAAATCAAACTAATTGTGTAAAAATAAAAGTATACTGAGTCTGGATTTCTGACCTGTTCCTAAAGCAGGGCCAAGAGAGCAAACAAAGGAAATGGTGAGGAGTTACTTACATCCATGGAGTAATGCTCAATCTGATAGATGGTGGTCAGCCCCTGGGTCGTGAAATAATCCACACAGGATGAGCAGCCCAACCTCGCTAAGAAGCTGCAGAGGAGGAAGGAAGGAAGGAGAGAGAAAATAGGATCACCCTGGCTGCAACAGCCCAAACCACAGAAAAACCAAACACTCAGCCAACCTGCAGCAACAGGAAACAAAGCTTTCACCCTTGGCTTGACCTCCTCCAAGACGTCCCAGGCCAGCAAGCCACATCGCTGCCACATCAAACAAACGAGGGAGTCCTTCAGCTCAGCACCCAGCAGACAGCCCTCATGGCAGCATCTTGCCTTAGTCAAGAGCCAGTGCTGCACAGCCTGGGTCTTGAAGCAGGAAGGCTCACAAAGACCCTCCTGCCAGGGCACCTCACCCAGAAGGTGGCTGAGCCCATGGCAGCCTGGTGCATGCACAGAGGGCTTCAGCAAGGCATGGGGTCTAGGGCTCAGACACGTCATGCACTGCCAATCAGCACATTCTTCCCTAAGTGTAAAGGATTCCTTATTTATGGGCAGCATCTTTCAACTGGTTTGACCTCACAAAGGGCAGAGGGGCTTCTGACCCCAGCCATGGCTTGTCAAGTGGCCAGAAGGGAAAAAACAAGAAATGTTTGCAAGACAGCCAGGCACCCTCAAACTCGATCAGTCCAACAGATGCTGCATCCCTCAGCTTTCCTGCAGTCCTAACGTCCCTGTTTCTCTCAGCTGCTCAGACACGGTGGGGATTTGAGGCTCAGTGCCCAGAGGGTGCCAGCCTCGGGACTGCCAAGGGCCCAGTGGGATCTGGTGCTCCAGGATCACTCAGGCTCCTGACCCAAGGGCTGTGCTCCCTTCGTGTGGGCAGTGTGCCGGGCAGCCTGCTCCCGCTCACCTGACGATGCTGCAGTCTGAGGGGTATGGAGGAGGGGGGGTGCAGTGGGACGTTGAAGGCATGGAGAGGGGAGGAGGCAGCGCCTGCGTGGGACTGAGGCCATTCATATCCCCGGTCATGGCCATGTGGGTGCCCATCATGGGAACTGGAGGAGAGAAGGAGGAGCACATCGTTACCCAGGCATGCCCAGACCCCAGCTTCGCCCCCAGCACGGCACCCAAGGACAGCACCCACACCTGAAGCAGCCCGAAATCCCCTGTAAAACCCTGCACAGGGTGAGCTCATGAGAAGTTTCAGGCAGGGCCAAGGACCAGATGACAGACAGTCCTTCTGGAGCTCTCCCCTCACAGGAGAAAGTGCCACCCTCACGTCACCTTCCCTCCCAGACAGCCTGGATAAAAACCCTGGCTTGCCCTGCCACAGGAGAGCAGCAGGACAGAGCCAGCAGAGTAACCTAATACAGCAGCCAAACAGCTTTGTTTTCTGAGACAGCAAGAGCAGCAGAAAGGGCTCAGCAACAGGTGTGGGCATGAGTCCAGCTGTTTTGAAATAAATTAAAAAACAAAACACCAACCAAAAAAAGCCCAAACAAAACTCAGCCCCCAGAACCACGTCTGTCATCCTGGATTTACAGGGCTGCTGAGCACATAGCAGCAGCCAGGAGGAAAAGAACTGCAAGATCTTTCATTTGAAATTAAGAACTGTCTTAATTGAACTGAGGGAGAAAAATGTTGCTAACATTTGCATCTCCTCTGCTGGGAAAGGAAGAAGAACCGGGTCTCAAAAGCCAGAGGACAGTGCAGCCAGGTAGATCTGCAGCATGAAGCAGCTCTGTTCACCTTGTGAGGCTCTGAGCAGGATGCTGAAGCCTTGCCCTGTGGCACACCAGCGAGCAATATTTATTTGGCTCTGTAGGTTTACAGCAAATGACTCCAGGCTCTCCAGCTTAACACTAGCCACATGGAGATGCCAAGTCTCCTTGTCCAGACTAGCAGGGAGCACGCAGGGAGCAGGAGAAGGAGGAGTAAGAGTTTCTTACTGTTTGTTCCCATGCTGTCAGGGATGGTGGTTGGAGTCAGGGCATTGCGCTGCTGGGGGTTGATGAGCTGGCTGACCGAGGGCAGCTTGTTCATGCTGTTCATTTTGCTGAGTGGTGGAGAGTTGGAGCCATAGGAGGACTGTGACTGCATGGAGGTCCTGCAAACCAAGGAGATGTTAGGACAGGGATCACAACAGCTGGCTGCTGCGAGTGTGCACCCAAGGGGCTACATTGCCAGTGAAATCACTGACACCATAGGAGTATCATAGACAAAGATCACCAGAGAATGAGACAACAGGAAATAAAAGGTTTCCCAGATATTCTCAGCACTTAAAGAAAGTGAAATACCAAATAAAGGAAAGCTTAACTTTTTGTTGAAATATTTTATTTAAGGAGAAGTGTCTATTCAAGTTTTTCAGTTGAAAAGAATATATGGAAAGCCAGCAAACACTTGCCAAGATTTAAAGAGTACTTTTAAGTTAAACTCTCCTTGTCGTCAAAGACTTTTTCATAGGAACAAGAACTGAGGAAACCATCTCAAACCATCCTAAATGCCCCTGAAACCTGACTGCAGAAACAGTTTTCAGATTGGGTCATGCTTATCACCTTGTTTTTCCAAAATTCCTAGTTATTCATATAATCAGGCCATTCTCAGGTGCCTATGTAACAGCCAGAGGCTCCTTGCTCAAGACAGATTCCATGCACCATTCCAGGGACCACTACTGAGATGGTCAGAGCTGCCTGGGATGCCGACAGGCAGCTTTTGCTTGTGTTAAGGCCAACCTGGTATCCAAACCCTGCAGGCTGCTTGCAAAGAGGATCAGGTTCCTGCTACCACCTGACAACAGCACTAGCCTCCCCTCAAGTCCATCCAGCCCCAAACTCCATCCAGCATATTCATGGAGAGGGCCCAGAGAGGCTTGCCAGAGCTTCCTGCTGCCCAGCCCCAAGGGTCCCAGCTGCAATCCTGCCATGTACATGATCTAGACTGCCAAGACTGGGCTGCATCTGAACGGCAGCCCAGCTCCCAGATTGAGTTACGGCTGTGGCATCCCATCTGGAGTGGGGTCTTATGTGGGATATGCAGAAAATTATCATTAAAGCCAGTCCAACAGCACAACTGGCACAGCACCCCCATGCCACAGGGGAGCAGGTTCTTCTCTCTTTGACACCAGGGCCATCTGTAGGACTGGGCAAAGGTTTGGGAAATGTGCCTGCTTCCCCACGCTTCCCAGGCACAAGTACCCTCAAGCCATGGTCACCCTGCAGAGCCACAGAACCCAGCACTCATATCACACTGACCCCGTGGTGAATGTCCAAGGGCACATTCTCGTCTTATTTCCCATTGGGAAACTTGTTCCCATCTGGGTATAACTGGGTACACCAATTCCTGGGAACTGGCTTTTCTTCTATGCAAATAGAGTAATTATTACTCCAAATAAGCAAAGTGTAAAAGGAAAGAAAAGGCTTATTCCTAGACAATTTATTAAAACCTTCAGAACTCAAGGTCAAGTTCCATACAATTACATTGTCTCCAGCTTCCTGCACTTTCAAGACTTGCAGTGGTGGGTGGAGAAAACATCTATGCTAACAGGCTAGAGTATCTAAGGCCCTGAAGAAATGTTACCTAATTACACAATTACAGGAGGTACAGAAGGGTGTGAACTGTCCTTTGGCAGTGAAGATGCAGGACAAGATCCAGCAAACTTCACAGACTCAAGGAAGTGGAAAGCACAAGAAGCTTCACAAATTAATATTAACAATGGCAGCAACTCCCAAGGGGAAGTGAAACCCAGCCATGAAGTTCAGACCCAACTCTTCAGAGTGAAGGGAACGATTCAGATCTGAGATTTCAATTCCTCCAATTATGAAAGCTGAGGCCAGCCATGAAATTCAAGTCAAGCTGACACCATCCTTAGCCTAAAAGGCTTCTGGATTTAGGTCCAATGCGTATTTCTACTTCATGGGTTCAGGCACTTAACTGAGCTTCAGCTGAAATTAATACACACATGAAGAGTCTCTTACAGTGAAATCTGCATTATCTGCAAGTGAGGAGGTCACAATGAACACAGCAAAATTCCAAATCAAATCAACAAAGGCTTCCCAAAAGACATTGAGCTGCATTTTTGAGGTCAGCAGTGGGCCTGTCTTTGCCCTCTCCATCACCAATAGTGATCTCAGCAAAGTTAATTAGGAGACTACAGAATAATTTTGGGGGTAAAAGAAAAACAAAAAGCAATCAAACACAAGCCAACCCAAAGCTTTAGAAAACACTTTAGAAAACAAATGCATACTTTAACATATAACTTATGGACTCCATTCTTATCTCATTCATACTCATAAGAGTCAAGATTAACACAATCAAGTTCAAGGGAATAAAACAGAAAACAAAAGTATTTTTCTTTGTACTGACACTAGTTTCAACAAAGCTGTTCCATCACACGAGCAGATATTTAAAAGGCCTACAGAAAGCCATCTAGCCAAAGAGAAGTCGCACAATAAACCAAGATGCAAAATTTTATTGAAAATTAATGTCACACATCAATATAGCAAGAGCCTTAGAAACACAAGAGAATGTTTTTGGTATTAAGCACAAGAACTACATGGTGTTTGAGGACCCACTTAAAAGATATTGCTTTTTTTCCCCTTGATTTTTTAAAACAGATATAAGAATGTCATGCACAGCGATTTTCATTTAAATTGTACTTACTAAGTCTCAAGAAAGATTAGAAGTCAGAGCATTAACATTTCTTTGATATCAATGCCAGTGAAATGCATTTTAATATCAAGGTGTAAGGACTTCAATTAAGAGACTATTATACTTCTTGGAACAGTCTGATACAAAAGGCACTGAGTCACATTCTGCAACTGAGTTTTCTCTCTTCAAGAGGCTATGTAATTATTTAGCAAGTAACATTTGCAGTTATGCAAGCTCATATGAGGGCAATCAGTCTCTCAAGCTTCAAGGCATATACTGATCATCTCAAGAGGTCAGGAAGGAACTTCCTTGTCCCAGGAGTTCAGTTCACAGGCTACCTCATACAACTACATTTTCCCAGCTCTGGATACCAGCCCTTCACCAGCAGCAGCAGCCAACTGCTGGGACAGACCAACTATCTGACTCAGCAGACCAGAGTCCTTGTTCACTAGAAGAGCACACATCCATGTAAGCATCCTTAAATGACATCAAAGGTCCATTAAATGCAATTGGGCAGCTCAGGCTCAGAGTTCAAGATTTCACCCAAGCCCTTGTGCCTACAGTTTGCTGTCCCTGCAGACCCAGAGCCAGTCAGTGCAGAGACACACAAGTAGAATCAGAGCTGTCCAGTTCTGTGTCTGCCCTCCTTTTCAGAAGCCACACCAAGGGATCACATCCCAGGTTCACACATGTGCTCATGGACAATGATTTTTAAAGCAAGGTTTCCCACAGGGCTGCATAACACTGGGGTGTCACTGATGTAGTCTAATAACAGCACCCGAGTGACACAGGTGATGCTTAGTTTCATTCATCTGCTTTGCAGGCCCATGAAGCAGCAGGACACTAAAGAGCAGAGAGATGCCCTTGCTCCCCACATCCCAAATTGCTGCTATTTTAAAGCAAACAGTGCATCTTTCCAATCACTCCAGCGGTTTGAAGGCTTGGTACCTCACTGGGAGCATGGAAAGGAGGAGCTCCAGTAGTTACTGGGCAGACAAGAACTATAGCACAGGGACGGGGTGGCAATAATGACTCCCCTTAGATTTCAGGTATGGGAATTTCTCAAGGCAGGCCATGGATGCAATCTGCTCTCCAGGGAATGAAGCTGTAATACAGGGAGTGGATATGCATCAAGCAGCTGATACAGACTGATATAACCTGACTACCCGATAAGGCCAAATTAGTCCACTTGGTTATTCCTTGAAAGGAAAAGGCTTACTTTTTCCTGAAGACACAGAGATGGCAAAGAAGCAATGAAAAGAGAGCTGGGAAAAAGTTTTCATTTTATCTGCAGAGGACAGACTACAAAGCAACTCAAATTGCTTTCAACTCCAGGTATTTGATAAAAGAAAAAAAGAATAGCACCTTCTAATATAACCACCTGGTACTTGGAAAGCAAATCAAGTCATCACTAAGATCAGCATCACAATCATCATCCTCCTATAGCCAAGTGGGACAAACCAGAAAGGCTTTTCAGAAAACAATAGGATCCAAATAATTTACATTCTTGTTTAGTGGAAGTCTGAGATGTTGTACTGCCCACTACAGTGCAAGGCATTTCCTAAAGGCCACACCAAATGATGAACTGGAATCTTCCACTGCAGGCTGTGGATGCCTTCTACCTTCTGGTTTGCTGCCTCCTCAAACTTGCTGGTGGACAGGCCCAGGAGCAGTGCTCTAGGTACAGATCAGTATTTCCCTGTTACAGTACTTCCATATTGCCATCCAGAAGCTGACAGTGCAAAAATCCAGGAATAAACCTTCACTGGAAGAACAGAAGACAGTGCCAAACATAATCCTATGTCTGGGCTGCATTTACAGTTCAGGATCCTACCTCTCACAGGGAAAGGAATCACACTGCCTTTTTTTTTCCCAAATAAAAAGATACAGAACAGTGATCTGTTTTGAAATCTCAAAGAACTTCCTAGAATTTCCAGGCAAGGTAACAAGGAACTTGATTTTCATTAGCTTTACACAAGGAACGATGGCAGAGCTGCAACTCTGTATGAAATACACACTGCTGGTGCTTAATTACTTGTTATTTACTTAACCCCAGTTTTGGGGGCTCTTTGCCATCAGCCCTCCTCCACACTGCTATGGTAGAGCAAGACACTGTAGATACCCAGAGATGGGCTATGGCTCCCAAAGGAGATGTCAGTACGAGTCATCACCTGCTTGGATCCCCGCTCTGCTGCCTGGAAGCAGATGATGTGATGTTCAGAGATAAGCATCTTCTCCGACTGCACCAGGCTTTTTTCCCTCGGTGGGTGGCCAGGAGACCTGCTCTGTGCTTGGGAGGCACCTTCTCTTCACATTGCTTAGCCTCAAGTTTGTCAGAGCTGTGTATGCATCTGCCCCAGATAAAGCCAGCAGATTGCACTGCAGGGCACACAGGTCCCCAGCAGGATTTATAACAGCCTCCTGAGGTTGTCAGGAACTGCTGATCACTGGCACTTGCAA